ACAATCAAACTGTGTAATTAGTTATTTTTTTATCTACATTTAATACTCCATGCGTGTGCCCAAAGATTTAATGTGATGAAGAGAGAGTGAAAAAACTTACGATCTAAACGAGGCCGTACTATGTCGTTTATGTTCTTCCCATTTAAGTCGCGTGTTCCTCGTGATAAGTTGACAATACAGGCTGTAACGCCTTCAGTGCAGACCAGTTGTCTTTTTTTAGATGATGATTGGTGTTTGGTCATTTGTCTATGTTTAACAGAAAATGATTTCTTGGTCCGTAAGTAGTTATGTGGTTTATGCCATTTTATAAATAAAAAACTTTAACTACAGTTCAGTATAGCAGAAGAAATAAACCAGGAATATGGGATGTTGATACTTATACTTAAGAAATTGATTTCTCGATTTGTTAGTTATTCTTCATGAGACTCTTGTGCAAGACATCGCTTACATTGGCATGCCAAGTATAAGATTTTTTTTAGAAAGTTTTTGACTGCCATGGTTTAATATAGCATAAATGGATGCAATCAAGGTAATTTTATCTACATCTGCACTAAAAAGCATTACTAGGAGAAATAGTTAACCAGAATTTTTATTTATGTGTGTGTGGGGTGGGGGGGGGGGTAGGCAGCATACTTTATGTCAGTCCTTTACATCTCTATTTTTGAGCTTGACTAGGTAGCGTGCTCGTGCGTTGCTACGGAACAACTAAATATTTTGTACTAAAAACACACGGATAACACGATAAGATAATAATACTGTTAAATTAAATACCGACGTCAAAGTGACATTTAATTAAAAAGCAAAGTTCGTGAAATTAACACAGTCACAAACTCTATTGTATAGACTTTTTCGTGATACGGCTAAGATAATATTTTATATCAGCAAAAAGAATTCTACGATATACATTTTTTTCATGCGCCAATAAATCCATGAATAAGTTCCGCTGCATCTTCATATAATCATGTACACACAGGTTCGAGTATATATGTAAATAGGTTCGTGCCCGTGCGTTGCTACGGGACAGCTAAACTTTTATACTAAAAACACACGGATCGCACGATAAGATAACAATACTGTAAAAGTATATGACCAACGTTAAAGTGACATTTAATCCAAAAAGTTAAGTTCGTAAAATTGACACAGTTACAGAGAGTGTGGGGTCGCAGGCTCACAAACTCAACTGTGTAGATCTTTTCGTGATGCGGCTAGGATCATTTTTTATACCGACAGGAAGAGATTTTCGATATCCATTTCTTTCGTGCGCCAACAAATCCACGAATAAGTTCCACCACATCTCCATACCATCCTATACACGGCGCTGGCAAGCAAATTAGCCACAACTTATGTAATTAGTTTTATAATTGGCTCATGTTTAGTCCTCCTAATTGATATCTAAAAATTCAATGTGACAGGGACTAAAGTTTAGTCCTGAGATCCAAACACCCCCTGACTCTCGACTCCTACTGGCTGCTCACTTGCACCACCATACCTATGTGTCTGCACGTATATACTCTAATGACAGAATGTCTAAGATGGTCTTTATTGTTCACTCTTTGAAAATATCATAACTTTAAGGTTGTCATTTGTGTATGCTGTAGGATTGGGATGCTTTCCACTGATCCATGAGGGTGTCTATGAGAGTCGAAATTTTTGATGCTATTATGATGTCTAAGCTTACAAATCAGACAGAGACGAACTTGATTGTTAAAATATTTTCAACACTGCTTTCATATACTTTCTCTGATCCAAAATAGAATTTATTCTCGCTTTCCGAGAAGTTAACTTTTTTTTTAACTTCGACCAATTATATATAAAAGAATATTAATATTTATAATACATAATTAGTATCATTACATCGAACATTGAATATATTTTTATAATAAACTTATTTAAAGATATAAATGTTGCACGTATTTTTTATAAACTTAGTCAAAGTTAAGAAAGTTTGACCTACACGCATCCCATAACGACTTATATTTTAGGGGCAGACGAAGTATATGCTAATGGGAGTAATCAATTGGAAGTCGTGATGAACACAATAATACTTTCATATTATATGCTAATGGGAGCACGAAGAAACGCATGGGAATGGACATATATACTAATGGTGGGAATACTCGTTTAGGAAATTGCAGAAGATTTACCAGTCTCACAATGTATAACATGCACATCTTTTATTTGGCACCACTGATGTTCTCAAGGAGCAGCCACTTTTTAATTTCAGATCTGAATGCTGGAAACAAGAAAATTAAGGGCCAACCTCATTGAGTCGTCTTGCTTGATCTTTGCCAATTGTCGTGCTTGAGTTTTGCGAACAAATTATACCATTGGCATAGACTAACACAAAAAGAGGTAGAAGTTGCAAGAATAAAGCTAGGTGGCCTACTATGCACCCATCCTAAATTTAATACTCTCCAAATTATGGACAATACCATATGAACTGTTGTAACCGACATGTTAACTCCATCATGTAGTACACCTAAGTATTGAACATGCACATGCATAGTTTTTTTTATCATAGAATATATTTTTGTCCTATGAGACAACATAATTTTTTTTTCTAAGTGACAGCAGAGAGCCCCAAAATATTAGACAGAAACTCTCATTTTACTATCTCTACATCTGCTAAAAATTTAACTAAAGTTTAGTTAATCCATGGAATAATTTGGATTGTGCCTTTTGTACCGCCCCAACAATTATTTTACCAATCATATACAAAATCTAGTTAACAGCATTCGATCCATAATCAAAATTCATTACCTTGGTACCCGAGGATAATAATACAGAAGGTTTGTCGAGTGCCTGAGATTTGACACTCGACAAACGCGCCGTGACCGTTTCCACTCCATCACGTTACTTTTTTTCGTCGAGTGTCGTTTTTAGCTCTCGGCAAAGTCTTTGCCGAGTGCCCAATAGAAAACACTCGGCAAAGAGCCGTTTGCCGGCACTGTAGATGTCGCGTGCTGTTTGTCGAGTGTTACACTCGGCAAATGTTTTGCCGAGTGTTTTTTGGGCTTTGCCGAGTGCCTGTGGCACACGGCAAAGCGACTGTTTCTGGTAGTGGCAGTGACCTGTAGCACAACTGGTAACCTGGCACGTCGACGATAATTGTGCAGGAAAAGTAAATTTGGCATTCTACATGCTATTGAGACATATCTTTGGCTTAACTGCAGTTGCTTCAGCTTTTTCCCACACAAATTCTTCAACAAGCTAAGGTGCACCATAAGCCACTGCATCATAATCTGAAAGGAGCTGCAACATTTACACACAAAAAAACAATTATCCTATTGAAACTAACAAATTGTAAAATCTTGTGTTAAATTCTGTTGAATTACTCCATAAAAATCTTACACTGTGCTTTTGGATTGGTGCACATCAATGAAGATTTCTTCCCATGTTGCTTGGAAAGACAATCTACAGACTACACCAATAGACAAAAAATCCACAACTTAGAGATTCTGTTTTTTTTCTCAAACAAGCATATTTAGTCCAATCATCTATGACTATTAGGACTTGTGATGTTCCAAACTTTTCAACTACCACTACTGTTCCAGCTCCAGCCCTGCTTATTAGTTGTGAAAAGTTCTGAAGGTCTACCCTTTAGAAAACTGCAAATATGATAGAAAATGCATATTGCAATTGATATCTAGATGTGTCCACTCGTAGTGCCACAAAATGTTGCTTAAGTTTTATCAACATGCTATAATTTTTTTGTGTGAAGCTGACGATTCAGTTTTACTATACTTCACTTTGCACAGCACTATGTTCCCTCCTCCCTCCCTCTCTCTCGTGTTAGAAACTTAAACTGTAGTATGCGTAACTAAAGGTTTAGATACCTCTGCTGGATCAATTATTGTTGGTTGAAAGGCTTTCATAGATGAGGCCTGATCAATTGTGTCTCAAGTATAAAGTTCAATGATTTCTTTTCTAAGAGGAAAAAGAACCACACAGATCAAGTAGCAAAGGAAATCAGAATAATATATGCCTCCGGACAAGGAAAGTAATATATAAGATGTAAGATTCTTTGAAGAACAATAGTATTTTAAAAATTTATATCGTGTTTTGAACATTTCTGTCAGGCCAACAATCTCATCCTCGGATGAGTTTTTTTCGATGCAAATAAAAGACATGAATTAAAGTCCCTGATATAGCTTGGAAATAAACTATTGAATGTTTTCTGTACAGCTCATGATTGTTTTCTTCCATGCATGTGGCCTCAACCAGTAATAGGGTTTACGTGCATTTTAGGGATGTTTGTTCCATGCATGTGGCATCATGTTAATTGTATTTTAGGGACGTCTATTCCATGCATCCGGTTTACGTGGAGATGAAAGATATCTGATCGAGCGGGAGAGGGGCACCGCATGATTGTTTCCTTCCATGCATGATTATTGTTTTCTTCCATACATGTGGCCTCATATGATCGATTTGTTTTCTTCAAAACAGGCGGGGATCGCAGGGATGACAGTTTCTTTTTCTATCGCGCGGGGTATCGCGCGGCCGGAAGGGAGGAGCGACAAAAAAAAAATTGCCCCAAAAAATTATCTTACTTTTGGTCTTTTTAGTTGTATATGAGACTGCTGCAAACTAAAGTACGTTAAATTAGAGAAAGTCCCTTTATTAATTCTTAAATTGAATTGAGAGCCTGTTCGCTTGCTCGTAAACGATCGTAAATTTCCAGCCGGGAACAGTGTTTTTCTCTCACACCAAACCAGCCAACAGTAAATAATCCACGATACGATACGGCCTGCCGAACAGGTCTTGTTGGTACTCCCCTCTGTTGAGACAGCCTGGGGGCGTCTTCTCGTGGTCTGAGTTTCTCTTTTCATTTTTCAATTCTTGAACTGTGTTTTCTCTATGAGACATTCATTCAGTACCTTTTACAGGGTTATTCTCTACCACTAAGAGTTTAAACTGAAGGGAGATCTGTAAATCCTGTATCATAATAGGGTTTGTTTTCTTTTCTTTCTCCATTTGTTCTTGTGGGAATCAAGCCTCCAATGACATCATCGCAAGAACCCAACTCCCTGTGCTTGAAGTGCAAACTTGTCGAAGATTACCTATCGGAAGAGTGCAAATCTCGTCGAATCAAAGCTAAGAATGGGCCCTCATCTGATTCATCTGCTAAGCACTGCAACTGTAGCTGCACAAAACCTAACCTTGCCGATGATTGTGACAATTTCCTGAAGAGCGGAGTCCCTAGCCGTATCATGTATTACAGACAAGGTTCTTGGGACAATTTTCCTGAGAAAATAATGAAGTCCCTCATTGAAGAATTCAGTGGCAACAAATCAAGTGTTGTTTCTGTGATGGATGATGAGCCTCTTCTCATTGATTTCTTGTCAATGACCATGGTCAACCTAAAATCTAGAAAGCAACGATCTGTTGCATGGGTTGATGATACTGGAAAGTGTTTTTCTCCTTCTCTGTTCCTTGATGAGGAAATTGATGATATGGCCAAAGGGGAATCTGCTAATGTTCAGCGCACTGTACAGGGAATAATGTTGGATAAGGATACAAATGTTCCACCTGAAGTGGTGAAGCAAGTTGTCCTTGATTCTAGCTCTTCAGTTCCTCATAAACTTTCCAACGCAGACATATTACGCAAGAAGATCACAGCCAGGGAAAGAGGCAGCAGAGACTTTCTATTTGTCTAGGACCTTTTCCTCTCTGGAATGGGTCCATTTGCAACACCAAACAATATACTCCGTGTCTACTGTTACTCTCCGAATGATATAACTGCACAGTGTAGACTTAAAGCTTTTGAAAGACAGATTAGGTCCACCAAAGAAAAACGTGGTGATGCAAATGTTAGATATGGATGGCTAGGATCCAGGAAGAATGACATTGTCAGGATTCTAATTAACGGTTTGGATCCCACTGGAGAACATGTTGAGAAGTCAGATTTGAGTGCTGGTGTTTATGTTTCACCAGTAGACCGAACATTTACCAGGTGCCCTTTCTTAATTCAGTTGTTGTGACTATTCTGTTTTACAAACATGTTTATTATATTAACATCACTTTTTTTACCAGTGTCGGTCTTTGTGATGTTGACGAAAAAGGAGTGCAGTATATGTTACTGTGCCGAGTGATATTGGGTAACCTGGAAGCTGTGGAGCCTAGATCGCATGAGTTTTTTCCAACCAGTGAAATATATGATTCTGGTGTTGACAATTGCTTAAACCCAAAGTGTTATGTGGTGTGGCCATCACATCTAAGCACTCACATGCAGTTAGAATATCTTGTTAGTTTCAAGCTTGCCCCAGAAGCTCGAAGTAAGATTATTATTGACTATTAAGACACCTATCATGTCATGCAGAGATAGGTGAAGTGAATTTTCTATCCGGTTTCACTTATTTTCAGATTACTTGCTTGGCTTGAAAGGCTTATGGTTTCGCCCACCATCAAAGGAAGTTGCAGTGGATATTTCTGCTCTTCAACCTGTGAGGCCACCTGAATCTTGTTAACTTGTTGTTCATCATTGACATGCTGATTTTCCTGCTAGATGCATGTCTTGTAATAGGAGAACAGAAGCTTTGTCTTGTATTAGTTTCAGCTTTGCTGCCCAATGATTCCCTTCCCATTCTCTGCTTTCAGTGTCAAATAGTTTTAGATTTGGTTTATAGTATTCCATTTATCCAACTGAGTGAACTGACTGGTATGTACACAGGTAATGTGTGAAGCAAGTGAAGGACCAAGTACCCCATGGATATCATTCAAAATCCTGTTCAGATTAATTCAAGATAAAATATCCTTCATAGCAAGGGAATCATGATGAAGAGCTAAAGGTACTATCTATTCAACAAGTTATATTATGTCTGTTAGTGTTAATTATGATTGTTATTTTGGGCAATGAAATATTTATTTTTCCATTTGACAGGAAGGAAAAATAACTCGTGAAGAAATGGTGAAGAAGATGATGATAGTTGGAGAGAAAATACTTATGGAAGCCCTGAAGAAACTTCATTACTGTGTGAGTCTCTTGCAGCATGCATGTTCCTTGTTTCAGTGACATTTGAATCTTACAGGCTCATGCTAGTAAATTGCAAGCTTATATAGGAATGATGCATTGACATATGATGCTTGCAGATTCACCTTAAGTAGTGTCGTAGTTGTTGCTATATTCACCTCTCAGGCTCTCACAGCTTGGATTCATGCTGATTGCACGTGCAGTATAAAAAATTGATTAAATTCTGGTTTGCAATGATTTGACATAATAAAAAGCGGTCTTTTCCAGCTTTTAAAGACAAACATCTTTTATCTTTCCAGAAGAAAAGGCACAGTTCTTTCAATGAAATTCTATTAGTTCTTGAATTGCATGGATGCAGATATGTTATTTGGCAAATTTAGCTGGCATCGCCTTAGAATGATGACTTAAATCGAACTGAGGCTGTTATGTGCTTACTGTCTAGTACCTACTTTTGACTTTTCTGTTGTTTTTATGTTTGTTATTATTAGTAGAAAATCCAAATTATCAAGCAGCTGCATATTTCTTTGCTAATTCTCAAGGACGTAGGATGTACCCAGTGCAGAGAGCTCCCGCTCTATGCGGGGTCTGGGGAAGGGTGTCAGTGGCAAGCCTTACCCTCGCCTGTGTAATGCGAGGAGACCGCGACTCGAACCCAGAACCTTCCAGTCACAGGCAGTAAGACTCTACCGCTTGCACCAGGCCCGCCCTTCATTTCTTTGCTAATTCTCAAGCATCTGATTAAATTTTCTAAGCCTGGATGTGTGCTAATGTGCTACCTTTCATTGCTGGCATGTTTATGTTCTTAGCATAACCTTTTTATGGTCTTATATCACAGCCATCATTATGGTACAAATCTTCTGTTAAAGCTATTCCTAGTCATCCTGTAAGGACTGAAGCAGAGCAGGTATCCTTGGATACAACAGGCAGGAGTTGTAACCATGGTGATTCATGTGCACAAAATGCAACCGCTGAACACTCAGCAGGTCCTCTTAGCACCAAAGTATGCGGTGCTCTTCTTACTGACATGGTTCCCAAAGGCTCTGACTATCCAGCCCCAACTGGTGTACCAGAAACATCTAGTTCTGCTGGTGCCAAATGCCTGGCTTCTCAAGGCATGGAGGGTGAAGGTAGAGATTCTCCTATGCAGATCATGTCACTGGGAAACTCTGCAGCTCAACCTGCGAGATACCAATATCCTACTGTAACAAGAATGCCACCTATAATTTGTGATGACCCTTTGAGGATTTCTCCTAGAATATCTGCATCTCCTGGTGTGGAAGTTTGCAATTTTGCTCCAACAACCACAGGGCCTCCTAGTTGTGCTTCTCTAGCTCCAACTAATGCTTCAAAGACCCATGAGATTTTGGTTCCAGGTTCAACTCCTAGTCCTAAGGGCCGTGAGTCTTGTGCCAATCTTGTTACTTAGAAATTCAAAAGGTGCAGGCGTCAACCGTCTCAATTCTGCACCAAGGGTGACACCTGAAGGCCAGGTGTTTCTTTCGCTGGGTATTGCATCACAGGGCACTGTTCTTCATCCAGTGAAAGGACCTGCATCATCATCGGTTGCCAGGCCTCTAGTCTACCCACCAGGCAAGCATTTTTGTACCATGGACTTGGCTCAAGCCTACGCATCATGTGTGGTAGCGCAAGGCTGGTTGTTGCCTGGCAAATGTTGATCACCAAGGCTTGCCATTGCTTTGCAGGACGTGGGAAATCACCATCTGTGAGCACATGGATGCGGTGACCAAGGTTCATAATGCTCCCACACCAAGTACGGTGCTCTCAGCTCTCTGGAATCTGCTGTAGTGCTGCACATCAAGTACTTAGGGTTTAGTCAATCTCACTTCTCTTGCTCTTGACTCTTGCTTTGCTTGGACGCTGCAGTAACCAGGGAGAGGAAAGACCAGGTTGTTGCACAGAATAAGATGCCTGGGCCAGGCCTTCATGGTTGCAGCCATGTCGAAATTCTCATCGCCCTATCAACTCCGCGAGAGAAGGGCGAGCGTTAGAGTATGCATCCTTAGCTGTGTATATGTACATGCTCCCATGCTGGGGTCTGGTGTAACCTGGTGGAATGGAGTATAGTTTATCTCCGTAGACGAGAACACCCTGTCGACTCTTCTGAACATAAATATTTTTTTTGGCTAGTAAACTGCTAGCGATAATTTATTTCCTGTATATAGATGACTTGTCTGTGCTAGTTATGGCCCATGGCCGCATGGCCGTAGGCGGTGTCTTTTTTTTTTATCGGGTATAACTTAGACGTCCACAACCTACACACTTAACACCATACATATACGCACGCGTGCGCGTCCGTACACATATAAAGAAGAGAATGAGAAGCTCTCTAGCCTCCAGTGTGGGGGAAGCTCTCTAGCCTCCGGTGCGGGGGAAACCGTGTAGTACCACCGAACGCAAACGCGTACGTGTGCCCTGAAATTTCTGGAAAAAATCTAGAAAAAGGTGCGAACACCATGGTTTGATCCTTTTTTTTTTTGAACTTTATTTATTCAGTAGGATAAAAATTACAAACTCTGTTCGGAGGCTTAAAAAACTAAACATGTTTATCTATTGATAAATTTACAGAGCTTCTACCTAATATATGGGCGTCAACATTTGAGTTCCGTCCTTCAAAGACGAAATCCGCTCAGTGAAAATTTTCTTCTAACATTTATCTTCAGGATAATTGGTCCATACCTGCCGAATCTTTCGCCCACTAAACTCCTCACCGCTGGAGCACAGGCCCATTCGCCGTGGGCGGCGTCTTAGCGAGCTGTGTTCTGTGCCGCTGGGTTATGCCACTTTGGGCCCATTTGCTGTTAGGAAAACAGATGGGGCTGGGCTGCGATTTGATTGTTGATTCGCTACTCTCTATATTTCTTTTCACTTATTGTTGTCTCAGTTCGATACCACCCTGCTAATGAATGTGTTTAGTCCAAACTCAAGTGGTTTCTGGCTTGGAAACAAAAAGGCAGAAGACCTAGGCTACAAAGGGCATGGATGCCTGGATGGGATAGGGGAGCCCTTATCCTCTCATGCTGCTGGCCACCTGGGACTATGATTAACTCTAACTGACTACACGTCTACACAACAAAGGCGCTTGAGAATTGAGATGTCCCTCCAGCATAGCTCACCGATGCTGTCAAAGGCTCAAAGCCATGAGGGAACACTAGGCCCTTTCCATTCCATTACTTTACCAAGATTAACTGTAGCCAAGCATGCGCCATTAGCCTCCATCATCCACCACAACCAAGTGATATGAGTGAGGCCCCTGCTTCTCTGCTTCCGTTAACCTCCCCGGCCAGCTCGCACTCACCAACCACGCATGCTAGTGGCCGGCGCCGTGTCGTGTCCCGCCGCCTCCTCACCGTTGAAATTGCGCTGCCAAAAAAGGTTTCTTCATTCTTTACCCCAGAAAAAAAAATGGCTCTGTCCGTTCGAGCTTATAAGCTAGAATCAACTCTACTTTTTTAGCAAGGAACGATGTTTTTCTCTCGCAACAAATCAGTCCTACAAATCAGCCGCAGCAGCAATAAGTCCTACCAAACAGAGCCAATAATAACAAGGGAACCAGTTCTGTGGTGTTAGTTAGCTCGACGTCAACAAAAGGGACGTGGGGGATGTTCGGCTGGTCAGCTTCTGCTGGCTAGCTGGCCTTTTTTTCAGTAGGAGCAGTATTTTTCTCTTACTAAATTCTAGTATAAACAGTATTTTCCAGCTGCTACGGTACAACTTTAATATCAGCCGAACACTCCCCACGGGAAGGCGCGCGAAGAACCACTCTTTCCACGGTTCCACCGCCATTTTGCGTCGGTTTCTGTGCTCTCGAGCGTCTGCATCTCGTCGCATGCAGGTTATTCTTTCTTCTTGTTTGTTCCTCCCCTAGTCCCCTGTGACTTGCGAGGGACATAGGACATGACGCGCATATACGCAGAATCTGATCGTATCATGAGAAAACGTCGTATTCAGTAAAGAAGACAGTG